ATGACTAAATTGTTGGTATGTAATGGGTAAAATAAAAAATAACTTTATTTTCAAATATTACTAATAAGTTTTTGAGTATTTTTTATTTAAAAAAAATATTTTTTTAATTAGTCTTTAATACGTGCTTGTTTAAAACGGTTAAAAAATATTATAAAACAAATAAATATATACAAATTAAATTGCTTAGAAATTAGCAATATCAAAATAGAAAATTGTTTTTATAAGAAAATAAACAAAGATAACCATAAACAAAATGTTGAAATCGAAAAAATTTTTGAAAAAACAATATCAAAAATTAAAATTGTTTTATAAGAAAACAACAAGTGAGTGGTTGCTAAACAACAAAGACTGCTCCTTAAATTTTAGTTATAATGCTTCCAGATGTCTTAAATATCTTTATTTACATATTAGTTTTATTATTTTTTTATTGAATTTTTTTGCATAATTATACTAATATATTATTCTTTTTCTATTTACAGGTAAGACATGAAACAATTCTCTTCATATTCAAAACTCAGGTATTCGTAGATTTATATTATAGGAATATCATACAAACTCAGAAACCATTATTAAAATTATTACTGGTTTATGAAACAAAATTATGAAGATACTCGATCACTATATGCTAAATATTGTTCGGAATCTATGTTAATGCTAATCTATCAATAATATTAACAGATAATATCAATTTGTTTGCCATTTTAAGTATTAAAAATTTAATTAGTTATTAGAACGAATGTCGTTTTAACTTGTCAAACTAGTTCAGTTCTAGTTCTAGTTCAGTTCTAGTTCAGTTCTAGTTCAGTTCTAGTTCAGTTCTAGTTCAGTTCTAGTTCAGTTCTAGTTCAGTTCTAGTTCAGTTCTAGTTAAGTTCTAGTTAAGTTCTAGTTCAGTTCTAGTTCAGTTCTAGTTCAGTTCTAGTTCAGTTCTAGTTCAGTTCTAGTTCAGTTCTAGTTCAGTCAGTTCTAGTTCAGTTCTAGTTCAGTTCTAGTTCAGTTCTAGTTCAGTTCTAGTTCAGTTCTAGTTCAGTTCTAGTTCAGTTCTAGTTCAGTTCTAGTTCAGTTCTAGTTCAGTTCTAGTTCAGTTCTAGTTCAGTTCTAGTTAAGTTCTAGTTCAGTTCTAGTTCAGTTCTAGTTCAGTTCTAGTTCAGTTCTAGTTCAGTTCTAGTTCAGTTCTAGTTCAGTTCTAGTTCAGTTCTAGTTCAGTTCTAGTTCAGTTCTAGTTCAGTTCTAGTTCAGTTCTAGTTCAGTTCTAGTTCAGTTCTAGTTCAGTTCTAGTTCAGTTCTAGTTCAGTTCTAGTTCAGTTCTAGTTCAGTTCTAGTTCAGTTCTAGTTCAGTTCTAGTTCAGTTCTAGTTCAGTTCTAGTTTAGTTCTAGTTCAGTTCTAGTTCAGTTCTAGTTCAGTTCTAGTTCAGTTCTAGTTCAGTTCTAGTTCAGTTCTAGTTCAGTTCTAGTTCAGTTCTAGTTCAGTTCTAGTTCAGTTCTAGTTCAGTTTCTAGTTCAGTTCTAGTTCAGTTTTAGTTCAGTTCTAGTTCAGTTCTACTTCAGTTCTAGTTCAGTTCTAGTCTCTAGTTCAGTTCTAGTTCAGTTCTAGTTCAGTTCTAGTTCAGTTCTAGTTCAGTTCTAGTTCAGTTCTAGTTCAGTTCTAGTCTAGTTCAGTTCTAGTTCAGTTCTAGTTCAGTTCTAGTTCAGTTCTAGTTCAGTTCTAGTTCAGTTCTAGTTCAGTTCTAGTTCAGTTCTAGTTCAGTTCTAGTTCAGTTCTAGTTCAGTTCTAGTTCAGTTCTAGTTCAGTTCTAGTTCAGTTCTAGTTCAGTTCTAGTTCAGCAGTTCTAGTTCAGTTCTAGTTCAGTTCTAGTTCAGTTCTAGTTCAGTTCTAGTTCAGTTCTAGTTCAGTTCTAGTTCAGTTCTAGTTCAGTTCTAGTTCAGTTCTAGTTCAGTTCTAGTTCAGTTCTAGTTCAGTTCTAGTTCAGTTCTAGTTCAGTTCTAGTTCAGTTCTAGTTCAGTTCTAGTTCAGTTCTAGTTCAGTTCTAGTTCAGTTCTAGTTCAGTTCTAGTTCAGTTCTAGTTCAGTTCTAGTTCAGTTCTAGTTCAGTTCTAGTTCAGTTCTAGTTCAGTTCTAGTTCAGTTCTAGTTTAGTTCTAGTCTATTGATTAGTCTATGGACTAATCAATGGAAAACTTGTTGACCATTTTTTTTTACAGATCCTCAATAAATTAGTTCAGTGCCAAATTATGATCTTTACTATTATTAAACTTTTTCTTAAAAAAAAAAAAACTATAAACTTCTTTCTTAAATTAAATTTGTTATTATTCAACCATCCATCATCAGCTTCAACAAACTATGCTGACATAAACACATAAAATAGACATTTATGTCTTCATCAAACTCAAAAACACTGATTGTTATTATAATGAAGAAGACGACACTGATGACGCTGATGCAACTGAATAAACCGGATGCAAAAACATTTGCTAGCTTTTGGTATACATATGTATGTATTAAAGTTTTCCTTCAATGAAAACCTTATGCAGGATTTTTGTTGTTTATAAACAAGGAAATTTCTTTAGACAATCTTTCTCTGTATTATATCTCTGGGAAATAAGTGTTCGTTAGAGATTGTGATTGTATGTCATCGTTGGTTTGGTATAAGTGTCAATTTCATCTGTTAACTTTTGCCTGTATGACACGTTAAGTGTTTTGGGTTTTAATGTTTGTCTATATGGATGAAAATTACAAGTACATCGTTTTGATACCCTTGGGCCAAGCAATGTACATGTAGCGTAGACATAGGAATAAGAAAGAAAATTTACATATAATAGAATATACCTACTAGTACTTTTCCAACTATCCTTGTGACTTTATCAAGATGTGTAAGAGAGATATTTTTGTTATGTGTTACATCCATATGTGTATCTAAATAATAGTTTGCAAACAGGCTTTCTTCGTTGTATTTATATAGGAATATTGTAGATTTCTATAGCTACAAAATATTATGACATAACTTGCTGATTGAAGGACATTTACACTTTGTATTAAGTTATGTTTTAAGGAGGCTATTAGATGTTCAAATATGTTTATCAGAGGATTTAAAATATGTTTTAAAATAAGTTGTTTTTCCTATTTATTGGCCAATTATTATAAATGTTTTGTTATTGAATTTCTTATAAAAATTCTCAAAAATAAGGACATTATCCTTTTCATATAGAAAATGAGAAATGATGATGATGAAGGTCCTCAAAGCGTTAGCCAGCAGCACTTGAGGTATGGATAAGGAAACCTTGTTAGCTACATATAAAACGATTGGTCGGTCAGTGGTTAATTATGCTGCTCTAGTGTGGTCACTTTCGCTCAATGATAATCAGAGGAGAAACATTCAAAGCTGCCAAAGTGACAAATTAATTCGGAACATCACCTGCAAGAGAACACGAAGGTCCTCTCGAGTCAAGGAACACAATGTCACGTTGACCAAACAGTTCCTCCTGGAATGACTTTAACCACACACAGTTGGATACTCCCCTGAAGCATGTCAGGAAGGATATTCATATATACAAGGAAAATACATGCAGATATGTGCAGGATCCATTAGATCAGTCCTCGTATACGGCAGTTTTAAATGAAATACATAGAGACGCCGTAAATACCGTTTGAATGTAGGTCGCCCACCACCCATAGCAGACACAGAATCGGGATGGAGCAATAGGATCAATGCCTACTGGTCACGTATAGACCGTGTCGTCCCCAACGAAAGTCCTGCATGTGGTCAGGGTCCCCATGATACCCACCACATGTTCAACTGCTCAGCCAACCCTACTTCACTCTGTCCAATGGATTTATGGACGCAACCAGTTGAAGTAGCCCTCTTTTTAGGCCTGGACCCCCAACTAGTTTATTGTATAGTTTTAGCTATTACAATAACAACAACCACTGATCGGTAAATTGCCTTATAGGTAGCCAAGGTTTCGGGTAGTAGAGGAATTCGTTTCTACTACGTTTTCTGAGCTGAGGAGTTAAATAGGCTGTCAAAGGTGATATTTTTTATTGGTTCACAGACGGAATTTGGACTTTATCGACTATGGCGATATAATTATCAAAAGATTCACATCTGTGGAACATTTAGGAACCTTTTTAAAAAAATCGCTAAAGAAGTAGCATAATCGCTTATACCCCATTTACACATACACGAAATCTAGTACTTATGAGATTTCGAGCCAAATCTACTTGATTTTAACTAGATTTCCCATACAAAACAAAATCTACTTCGTAACTAGATTTCGTTAAAATCTACTCAAAATCTAATAGTTTTTAGTGATGCAACTCTGTTTTTTCCTAAATAATACTAAAAAATACGACACTACACAAGAAAAAAGAGGAAAACAAAACAAACAAAAAAAAATTAAAATGTCGACAAAATTTTTATAAATTGAAAAACATGAATGAAAAGTTAATCTAAAATAAAAGGTAATGTTATATTTAAATATCTATTTTTTTATTTTAAATGGAATTTTGATAAATATCCCATTTTTCCTTCTTATTTTTCATATCACACACTTTTTCAAGAAATATTAGAAAAAATGAAATCTTCTTAAATGTCAAGAATAGTAAGTGTAAACGGACTAGATTTGGAAAAAGATTTTAAATGAAATCTACTAGATTTCGTGTATGTGTAAATGGGGTATTAGGTTACTTTAAAAGCAAAAATGTGGCAACATTTTTCAACCCTTTAAACATTTTTCAGTTTTGTTTTGATTATTTCATTCGTAGTTCACTTGTCACAACTGTTAGTTAACATTTGTTTATGCAGTTTTTTTTCTTTTTACAACAAATGACAGATTTACATCACTGTTAAGTCGATAGAGTTGCCATTAGATTAAAAATGTGAAAATTTTAATGATATAAAATACGAACTGTGGTATTTATACAAGGGATAATCTACCTTATATTATTGTGCCACGAAAGAAACTTTGAATAAATAGAAAAAAACCTGTCAAGATTGAAAAAAAAATCTCAAAAATTTTCCACACAAAAAAAGTCAACAAACTTCTTTTTTTTTAAACCAATAAAACCGAAATGAACTCTTCTCGTCTTCAACCCACCTTTATCGAAGAAGAATTTGCCTCTCTTCTAGATCGCTGCTGTATCGATGCATTTCTGAAATCCTCAAGTGGTTTAGTTATAGGCTTTTTGTCTTCCTCACTATTTCTAAAACAACGAAAATGGCCCATGTTATTGGGCATGGGTTTTGGTTTGGGTTATGCCTACGCCTCGTGTGAGTACAATTTGCAAATGTTGTGTGCTGCTGATGTCACGGAGAGCAGTACTTGATCATCTGTAGTAATTTTTTTTTTGTGTTGTAAGATAATGTCATTAATTTATTGCATGACTCTGTTTTTATATTAAAATGTTAATTAAATGTTTAATTGACTTATTAAATGGAAATTTAATTTAGTAAATAATAAAAAAATTGCAATTGAAATTAGTTAAAAAGAGGAAATTAAAAAAGTTATTTGTTAATTATTAACAATTTCAGCTGGTTGATACATTCTAAGTCGATAGGCTACGTTGGCAGTGTTCTAGTCTGTTAGTTTGGAGGTCATGGGTTCTCGTTTCTCTCCAGATGCTCTGTTAAAGGAGTTAGCAATAATTTTCTTTAAAGAAAATCAAATTATCGATAATTTTCTTTAAAGTGAATTAAGTTATCGACAACTTTCTTTGCAATAAATAAAGTCTTCAGCAATTTTCTTTAAAGTAAATCTAGTTATCGATAACTTTCCTTAAAGAAAATCAAATTATCGAAAGTTTAAAAATTTAAGCTATTGAAATTTTTTTTAATAAAAATCTAGTTATCGACATTATTATTTAAAGAAAATCAAGTTATCAAAAAATTTCTTAAAAAAAATCAAGTTATCGAAAATTTCTTAATAAAAATCAAGTTATCGATAATATTCTTTAAAGAATATCAAGTTATCGATAATTAAAAAAAATCAAGTTATCGATAAATTTATTTAAATAAAATCAAGTTACCGAAATTTTTCTTTAATAAAAATCAAGTGCTCAAAAATTGTCTTTGAAGAATATCAAGTTATCGATAATTTTCTTTAGTAAAATCAAGTTATCGATAATTTTCTTTAATAAAATCAAGTTATCAAAAAATCAGCTTATCGATAATTTTCTTTAAATAAAATCAAGTTATCGATAATTTTCCTTAATAAAAATTAAGTTATCGAAAATTTTGTTTTAATAATATCATGTTATCGATAATTTTCTTTAAATAAAATCAAGTTCTCAAAAATTTTCTTAAAAGAAAATCAAGTTATCGATAATTTTCTTTAATAAAATTAAGTTATCGAAAATTTTCTTTAAATAAAATCCAGCTATCGAAAATTTTCTTTAAATAAAATGAAGATATCGATAATTTTCTTAAATAAAAATTAAGTTATCCAAAAATTTTTTTTAAAGAAAAACAAGTTATCGAAATTTTTCTTTAAATAAAATCAATATATCGATAATTTATCAACTTATCGATAATTTTCTTAAATAAAAATTAAGTTGACGAAAATTTTCTTTAAATAAAATCGACTAATCGATAATTTTTTTTTTAAATAAAATCGAGTTATCGGTAATTATCTTATCGAAAATTATTCTTTAAATAATATCAAGTTATCGATAATTTTCTTTAATAAAAATCAAGTTATCGATAATTTTTTTTAAAGAAAATCAACTTATCGATAATTTTCTTTAATAAAATCAAGTTATCGAAAATTTTCTTTAAATAAATTCAAGTTATCGATTATTTTCTTTTAAAAAAATCAAGTTATCGATAATTTTCTTTAATAAAAATCAAGTTATCGAAATTTTTCTTTAAATAAAATCAACTTATCGATAATTTTTTTTAAATAAAATAAAGTTATCGAAAATTTTCTTTAAATAATGTCAAGTTATCGATAATTTTCTTTAATAAAATTCAAGTTATCGATAATTTTCTTTAATCAAAATCAACTTATCAAAAATTGTGTTTAAATAAAATCAAGTTGTCGATAATTTTCTTAAAAAGAAACAAGTTATCAATAAAGTTCTTTAAATAAAACCAAGTTATCGATATTTTCTTGAAAGAAAATCAATAAAATAAAATAAAAGTTATCGAAAATTTTCTCTCAAGTTATCAAGTTTAATAAAAATTAAGTTATTGAAAATATTCTTTAAAATAATATCAAGTTATCGAATATTTTAGTTAAGGAAAATCAAGTTATCGATTGTTGCCAAAAATGTATAAAAATTCTATAATGTTAATAACTCTAGTTTAATTATTGCATTTTCCAACAGACAGCGGCATATTAACGGTATTTATTGCTGCTATTTTTAAAACACATAATTAATTGCGACTTTGAACGTAAATTTGTATGCATTTTTAGCCTTCACCTTTACAATGAACGTAAAATATTTATTGAAAATTTTACTTCCATACTCTCCAAACGCCAAAATACTATACACCAACTAACAGCTGTTTTAGGTAAACAAACCAACCACTTATCGGCATCGCACTTTGAATAAGAGTGGGGGCCATAGAACCTCTGATAAATATATAGATACAAAAATGAGTACTTTTAGATACATGTTTTTTTTTCGATGATAACAAAGTAAAGTATCTAAGAGAGCAAAAGAAATGCTATAGTATAAATAGAGAACATAATATGTGGAGACTAGGGCTGAAAGTACTTTTTTAGTTTAAAGAAAATTAAAAAGTACTTTTTTTAAAAAAAGTACTTTTAATAAAATTTTTAAAATTTTGAGGCTTTGTTATTTAAAAAAGAAAAAAGTACTTTTTTGGCATTAAAAAAAAAGTACCAAATTTGTTATGAAAGAGTATTTTCTTAAAAAGAGCATTCATTTTTATACTTGGTGGTTGATTGTTCTCTTTGTTGTTTTTTAGTTTATTATGAAAACCTCAGATATTCTATGAGTGTGTGTATTTTTACTGTCCGTCCATCCCTGTGTTGTCTGTCTGTTTTGTGCACTTTAATAACATTTTCAAATGTCTACATATGGGAGTTTGCTGATCTTAGCCGGTGAAGAAACACGAGTTTTTTTTTTCGAAATTCTACGTACATATCAGACGTGTATGTGCAGACACTTAACCATAACAAAATAATACGATAAAATAAAAATTAAATAAAAAAAGAAGAAATATATCTATAAAAAACAGGCATATAATTCTACAATATCTGCTGCTATAAGTGCGGTTTTAGTTCTGTTCCATATTTGTTTGTTTTAAGTATAAAAGAAGAAATACTAAAAAAATAAAATAAAACAAATTTAAAAAGCAGTGAATGGTTAAAAATACCAGAAAAAATTTTTTTAAAATAAAATATAAAAAAAAGTAAACAAAGATATACAACTAGTACCTATAATCATTAAAAGAGCAAAATAATTTGTACAGCTAAAATATAAAACAAACAAACGTCTTTGCGTTCTATGTTATAATTATAAATTAAAAAGAAAATTTACTGTTTTATTAACAGGAAAATTCATTAATTTACATTTAGTAAAGAAAAAATATTAAGGAAAATATAAGAAATAATATAAAAAAATATATAAAGAACATAAAAAAAAATTTAAAAAAAAATGTATTATAAAATTTTAAATAAAACTGCGCAAATTTAATAAAAAATAAAAAAAAAAAAAATAAAAGAAATTTTTATATTCTAAAAGAAAATATATTATAAATTTTGTCCGTATTTGAAATGTTTATTGTTGAACAAAAATTAGCCAAATTTTTAGTGAAATAATAAAGAAAAAATGGAAATGATTCATGATAACAATTGTTAAACAAATATTTTGATTTTCTCTAAAAAATTTTTGTGATAAATTGATAGTCGATATATAAAATTAACCCTTAAATGTTTAGCGTACCTTGTATGTGGTGGTAGCTAAATTTGTTTTTAATACAGCCAGACAGACGGATACAAACAGATAAGAACTTAATCATCTATTTATATACGACCATTTTTTAACGGTCTTTAAGGAAAATTATCGATAACTTAATTTGCATTAAAGAAAATTTTCAATAACTTGATTTTCTTCAAAGAAAATTATCTATAACTTTATTTAATCTAAAGAAAATTATCGATAACTTGATTTATTTTAAAGAAAATTACCATTAACTTGATTTAATCTAAAGAAAATTATCGATAACTTGATTTTCTTTATTGAAAATGTTCGATAACTTGATTAACTTTAAAGAAAACTTTTGATAACTCAATTTTATTTAAAGAAAATTATCGATTACTAGATTTAATCTAAAGAAAATTATTATAACTATATCGATAACTTGATTTTCTTTCAAGAAACTGTAGATAATTTTATTTACTTTTAAAAAATTATCGATAACTTGATTATTTCCAAAGATTATTTCTAAAGAGAATTATCGACAACTTCATTTTAAGAAAAAATATCGATAACATGTTTTTCTTTAAAAATATATCGATAACTCAATTTCCTTTTAAGAAAATAATCAAAATTGTCGATACCATGATTTTCTTCAAAGAAAATAATCGATAACTTGTTTTTCTTTAAAGAAAATTATCGATAACATGACTTTCTTTAAAGAAAAATTTTTACAACTTGATTTTCTTTAAGAAAATAATCGATAACTAGGTTTTCTTTACAGAAAATTATCGATAACTTTATTTTTCTCAAAGAAAATAATCGATAACTCGTTTTTCTTTAAATGAAATTATCGATAACATGATTTTCTTTAAAGAAAATTGTCGATAACTTCAAATTCATTAAAGTAAATTATCGATAACTTGATTTTCATTAATGAAAATTATTGATGACTTGATTTTCTTTAAAGACAATTTTCGATAACACGATTTTACTTAAAGAAAATCTTCGATAATATGATTTTCTTTAAAGAAAATTATCGATAACTAGATTATCTTTAAAAAAATGTTCGATAACTAGATTTTCTTTAAAGAAAATTTTCGATAACATGTTTTTCTTTAAGGAAAATTAAGAATAATTTGATTTTCTTCAAAGAAAATAATCGATAACTTGTGTTTCTTTAAAGAAAATTATCGATAACTTAATTGTCTTAAAAGAAAGCTTTCGATAACTTAATTTTCATTAAAGAAAATGATCGATAACAAGATTTAATCTAAAGCAAATTATTGATTTTCATTAAAGAAAATTATCGATAACTTCTAATATATTAAAGAAAATGATCGAAAAATTAATTTTATTTTAAGAAAATTATCGATAACTTTTTTTTCTTCAAAGAAAATAATCGATTTTATTTAAAGAAAATTGTCGATAACTTATTTTCATTAAAGAAAATTATCGATAATTTCAAATTCATTAAAGAAAATTATAGATAACTTGATTTTCTTTAAATCAAATTTTCGATAACTAGAT